CCATGAAAGCACAAACATCATGACCCAGAAGCAGCAGAAAAATAAATCAATGAAAATAATTTCACAGAGATCTCCAATGTGAAAATTATCAGACTCTAAAACAACTGTTTCCTGTGTTTAAAGAGATCAAAGGTAATCTAGGAAGACGTTATTAGGGGATTAATAATTGTGCCGCATGACATACTGGATTGGAAAAGCAACCACATACAACTTCTGGCAAGGAGACAGTGGATAGTTGTGCTCGACAATGACAGAAGTTTGTCAGACAAGTAAATTGGATGGAGACATGGGCAGAGGAAATGAGTAGATACGCAATGAATAAATGGACACATACCTATTATGACTTGCAGTCTTAGTTGGATAGGGAGGAAGTAAAGCCAGCAGGGGCTGAGTAGCAGTGATAATACCTTCAGGAAAATCTCAGTATGCTGCTTTCCAAATAGTTCCAACCAGATTTGCAGAATGACTTCTAGTCTTAGAGAATCCAGGCAGAAGATAGAGTACAGGGCATGGACCTCAACACAATGAATGTACTGTCAGATGTGATAATGGGATCAAGACCAACTGATCACTTCAGAATTTTTACTAAGCATTATTTTAATGCATTAAGGAACTGTTTAGATATACTAAGGCGGACAGCTGGAAATCTCTGCAACAACCCTGCACTCCTTGACTCTGGTCTGGATATAATGTTGAGCTGTGTTGGTTCCATTGAGGAGTTAGACTTTTCTGAAGAATTAGTTTTAAGCTAAGATTTGGGACTGGTTGCCAGGATATCCACTTGTGTGTATTCCTTTGAAGTAGGAAAAGGACCAAATAAAATAATTGAAACCATCAGCATCATCAACAACATCATTATTACCAACAATTCCCACAAAACAGGAAAAAAATGTTTTTCAAACACATACTATGCATTGAGACCTTGATGCAGAACACTTGCTAAGAAAGGCAGAGAGGAGGCTAGAGAGTGAAGGGTATCAATTAAAATCATTCAGTTGGTAAAGACAACCACAAAGCGAGAGCCTGTTACTCTCCTAGAATCACCACCTGGGTTATTATTAAAGTTTATTGTACATTGTCGGCGATTGTCTATTTTTATAAGACAACAACTCATCACTAGCCCATGAGGGCTGAGTCCATGATCCATGTCACTTTCAGTTTTTCAGCCTTAAATCATCACCAAAAAGTGCTTCAAATCCCCAAGTCATCATTATTTTCAAAGCTTTTGAGCTCTGATGTTTCAGGAAATAATTCATGGCCTCCTTTCATATAAATCATAGCTTGTCTCTGCAGACCCACTTCTTCCCCATGCGTGATGAACATGGTAAAGCCTCTGTTCGGAGCTTCTGTGAGTGGGACTGAGAGAGGAGAACCCTGATACTTTGTGCACAAGAAGGGAGTGTCTCTGTGATGCTTTGGCTAAGCTGCTGGCACAGAAATACTCAGCCGAGTCACCCAACTCTGCACGCTTCATCTTGAGAGTGGAGTCTGCTCTTTTGGGACTTTCTGCAGAAAATCGATTCTTAGGCAGCTGTGAATCATCCATTGCATCTTCATTCTCAAAGCGAACCAGCAGCTCCAGGCCCTGTCCTGGGGTCTGCTGGTACTAGCAAAGGGTTAGGTGGCCAGAAATGGGATTGCAACACAAAGCCATGGCCTGACTCTTTTCTATGACCTTTTGTCTGGGAGACTGGGTGACTCCACCTGCTGTGAGTTCTGGGGGGTGGGGGGAGACAAAGGAAATATAAATGATTGGCATAATCATTGGAAAGATAAAATGCAGAGATCTTAGTGTTCTTAGACTCACCTGCTCCCAGGAGACAGAGGGTCACCCAGCAAAGGAGCCTGGTGCCCATGGCAGGGTCAGGACAGGAATGAGAGGTTCACCACGTCAGGGTCCTTGTGAGCATGAGCAGAGGAGAAGGGGTGTCCTCACAAGGCAGTCCCCACAGTGACATCACTGTCTCTGCAAATGCACAGTCTTAAAAACCTATTGTTGTGAACTAACACATGCCTACATCTTTGTTCAACACATTCATAGACTGTGTGTAAGTTCATCCAAGTGTCCACTCATTGCTCCAGTGCTCGAGTGATTCACTGGATTTTCCACTTCATCTCTACATCTCCCATCACCATCGTCTAACTCTCTGCTGGATGTTTCATTGTATGAAAGGTGAGGTGGAAAGGATTAGAGGATGGAGAAGGCCCTGGAAGTTGGTATAGAAGAAGAAAACAAGGAAATGTGTGTTTCAAGAGGTGGAAATAGTACGGCCGTGTGCTCAGAGGTATTATGCTGAATCTCAGAAACCTAGGGCTTACATGCCAAGGTTACCAAGTAAAGACCTGTAGGTGCAGAATTATCAGAACCATCTGTCTCCCTCAGAACTGCTCTGTCATTGAGACAGAAAGGCTGCTGGTCTGAGTCCAGCTTATGTTAGCACCAGATCATAATTCCATGTTGGAAACATTCTTCACATGGAGGTGTCACTACTTGTTCCACTTTTGTGACCAGAGATTAATGGTTCTAAGTGACAATGGCATTAGGGTGAGTAAAGACTGAGTAGCTGGAGGTGGGTCCTATCGAGATACACACAAAATGCTTGAAATTAAGGCATACCATTTCCAGAGAAGAAATCCTCCAAGTGTTCCCAGTCCTGCCCCCCGCCCCCCAACCTGCTTCCTGGGCAGCACATGCGAAGAAATCCATGAACAGATCTGTGTCAGGGCAGGAATGGGGCAAATTGCTGCTCATTGTGGGAAAGGCTAGAGATCTGGGAAATCTGACTCTTGTTAAGGATAGTTGCAGTGTTACCACAGCAACTGAGACAAGCCCAGACGAGGTCTAGGATGATTTCGTCTCCTCTCCTACTTTCACATTGCGCCATCCCCTACAGCATCTGGGGCACACAACTGGAATGGGTTAGGTTTGAGGTCCAGGTGCACATGTAAGTTTCTCTGATGGCTTTCAAAGGCAGTTTCCATTTGAAGGGGGCTGGCTCCTGACTCCCCTCTGCGAGTCCTTATAGGGAATCCAAACATGGGCATACGCTTAGGGAACCCTAATACAGTGCCTGCCACAGGCAATTTTTAAAGGCAAAGCTTGGAATCAGCTTACATAACTTTTACCCACATCACATTGTTCCTGACCCTCCAACTGCAAGCGAGGCTGGGAATCATAGAGGAGCCTGGGGATTTGGTGACCATGAAGGGTCTGTCACACCGTTCTTCCTCACTGGCTTCCATTCCTCATGCTTCCTTCCAGAATGTAACTTACCCTTTCATGCTCTGTTGTGTGTTTGATATACAAGGGTATAATTTAATACAACTGAAGTTATAAGTGTTTTTGTAAATATTTGTATATTACATTATTTTTATAAATATTTACATATGTTATATTTTTGTGTTCTTTTGTGTCTGTGCTTAAAAAAATCCTCCCTTAAATGAATGCCTAAGTATATTTTAGTAATTTCTCCTAGTAAAATCTAAGTTTTCACAATTAAGAGTAAGTATGCCTAAAATATATTTTCATGCAAGGAATGAAGTGGAGATCCAGAAATAAGAGAGTGGGACATAGGTTTCATGCAGAAGACATAGCCTGTAAAAAAAGATCTCTAAGGTGGTGGATCTGCAGAAGTAATCGAACTTAGATGAATAAGTCTGGGGCAGAGAGAGACTTGTGCAAGATGACCATGGAGGTCAAGGGCAAGGTGAAGGGCAAACATTACAGGACCTTGTAGGGCTATTGCCTCATAGGAGAAAGGCAGCCAGGGGCAGATTCTTCTGAATGAAGATTAAAGACTGTAAGTTGAAAGGTAAGAGAGGTTGGGAGCAGGGGTAGAAGAAGAAGCCACTAAAACCTGTAGAACAGAAAGAATGTGGGGGCTTTGAAATTATCAATGGAATTTTCATATATCTCTACTTAAGATACTTTTATTATTATTATTATTTACTGCAAGCAGGAAGAGAGAAAGTGGCAGAAGAGAATATCAGTGAGCTAAGGAGGTTGGGGTGGCCTCCGGTCAGACTGAGACTGGTCTAGGGATGGACTTCAGCCCTGAGGGCCACGATGCCCACTGCTGTAAGAGTCCTGTGCTGGCAGGAGCTTCCTGGGGTTTAGCCAAACCTCAGAGTGCAACCTCAGGTTTTCTAACCATCCTTTTTGTGCAGAGAGGAGGCAGCTATGCAGCGCTGTGTATCACTGCTGGCACAGAAGTACACAGATGTCTGGGAGGGTGTCGCTGACTCCAGTGTGAGGGCAAAGTTCTCTGTGTTTGATCTAGTGACATTGTACCCATCAGGGACATCTCCTTTTTCAATGCTGCCGACACCATATGAGTACTGGATCAGACTCAGCCCATGGCCCAGGTCTTGTCGATACCAGTACATATAGCCATGGTTATCAGTCTGGTTACACCTTAGGGTCACTTTCTTTTCTGTCTGTGTGACCTTGTATCTTGGACTCTGGGTGATTCGGGCATCCAGGTGTCCTGTAAGAGAGAGTCACAGAGCCTGATATTGTCATCCTAAGACAAAGACTTGGGTTGAGGTCTTGGGAATCCAGAGCAGGAAGCCCACCATACTCACCTGCCCACAGGAGACAAAGAAACACCCAGAAGAAGAGCCTGGTGACCATTTCAGGTCCAGGGCAGAATCTCATGTCTTCCTGTTCTGTTTGGGGGAAACAGACTCAGTGATGTCACTGTCCTTGACAAATGCTTGAGCTGTGGAGCTAACCTGCCACACCCCTTCCCCACAGGAACAAATCAGTGATCCTCTCAGTTAGAGGAACCACCTGATGTCCAGGAAGTTTTTAAAACCTCAAGGTCAGGCTGAGACTGGCCTAGGGATGGACTTCAGCTCTGAGGGCCATGATGCCCATGGCTGTAAGAGTCCTGCGCTGGCAGGAACTTCCTGGGGTTTAGCCAAGCCTCAGAGTGCAACCTCAGGTTTTCTAACCACCCTTTTTGTGCAGAGAGGAGGCAGCTATGCAGCGCTGTGTATTAACTGCTGGCACAGAAGTACACAGATGTCTGGGAGGGTGTAGCTGACTCCAGTGTGAGGGAAAAGTTCTCTGTATTTGATCTAGAGACACTGTACCCATCGGCACCATCTCCTTTGGCGGTGATCCCAGCACCAACTGAGTAATAGATCAGCGTCAGCTCATGGCTCAGGTCTTGGCGATACCAGTACATATAGTTATGGTTATCAGTCTGGTGACAACTCAGTGTCAAATTCTTTTCCGTCCCCACAACCTTGTATCTTGGGCTCTGGGTGATTCGGGCATCCAGGTTTCCTGTAAGAAAGCCACAGACCTGATGTTGTCATCCTAAGATGAAGGCTTGGGCTGAGGTCTTGGGGATCCAGGAGGGCAGGAAGCCCCCCTGTACTCACCTGCCCACAGAAGACAAAGAGCCACCCAGAAGAAGAGCCTGGTGACCATTTCAGGTCCAGGGCAGAATCTCATGTCTTCCTGTTCTGTGTTCTGTTTGGGGGAAATAGACTCAGTGATGTCACTGTCCTTGACAATGACCTGAGTTGTGGAACCAACCTGCCACACCCGTTCCCCACAGGAACAAATCAAATATATATATACAAATATATATATGTATATATATATTTGAATAGTTCGAGTGGAAAAATTTTGTAAGTCTGTTTTTTAAAGAAATCTTGTAAGTATATATGCTTTTTTCCCCTGCTTTTGGGTAAGGAAATTTGTCCCTCTATGCATGGTGACATAATTCCTTATTTGTATATTGTTACAGTTATTCACAATGTCTCTGCTGGTACTTCGGTGACTTCACTTCAAAATTTATCTACAGATACTTTCTACTAGTTTTTCTCTGCATAAATTCTGGATAATTTAGATGTTACCCTTCAGCGAGCCTCTCAGTTACAGGAACCACCCGATGTCCACAAAGTTTTTAAAGCCTCAATGTCAGAATCATTGGATTCTGAAGAAGTGTTTTATGTTGTCTCACAGTTTTCTGACTGATGGGAGCCCTGCCATCCGTGCTCTGGTTCCTGTGTGCTTGTGAATAAGAGTTCTCCCTTGGTTTCAGCTGAAGCCACAGAAGACTGGACCACCCAAGTTCCTGTGACTGCTTTTTGTAAAGAAGAGAGAAGATTCATTAACAATGTGGAAGAAATATTCAGCGAGAGCTACACATGTCTGATACCTCCAGGATCACAGTGAAATGTTCTGTCTCCATTGAGAGGTCTTGCACCCACACAGAATGGGAGAATATTAATTGAATCATAAGTGAGCTACAGTGACAAGCTTGTAGCTAGTCAATACCAGTTGGAGCTGCTATTTCTTATACAGGTTATATCTCAGTGTGAGGCAACCCCTTTTCTATGACTGCATATCTTGATGTCATCTTGGTGGGCAACTATAATCACACCACAGTGAGAAAGGACAGGAAATCAGAAATCAGAGGTGAGGAGGAGGTTGATGCATCATCGCATGGAAAGGCTGGCAGCTTGGGGCCTGGCCAGTCCAGGAAGGGCCTTTACATCTTATCCATGATTTACTTGGTCTGAGGGGACCAAGAGCCACACAGCAAAGGAGCGCACTTCCTGAGACAAGATCTGTGAAAAAAGAAGAGTTTTTAATCTAGGACTCATATTATTTGGTTTAGAGTACATGGAATCCCAGAGATTTGAGGAATGTTCTCAGAATAAGGCATAATCTACCCATAATATTAGTATTGTTGATAATACCTTAATTTCTTTAAGGACATAAGCATTCACCAGGACAAGTTTCTTTGTAATTTATTTTTAAATTAATTAGAGTCACAAATTTGAAGTTGTGGAAAACAGGTACCTCATCTCAAAGATTTTTTTGGGGTTTTTATTTTTTATACTGGTGTCTCCCAAGCACCTGGCGTAGTGCCTACACTATGGTAAGTCGTGAAGCATGGATTGGCTATGCAGGGAATAAAGAATAATTTTAGGCCTTCTCATTTGCACAGGAACTTACCAAGACTTCTGAAATATTTTTCTATTCTATTCTTCAAAGAGCACCCTAAAATTTGATAAGCTTTCATCCCCACAAAGTCCAAACTACTCTGTAACTGTATTCAATTAGTGTTTGTTCAATGAAAGATGAAAAGAATGAATGATTATCAGAGTCCAGGCAGACTGCACTTCTGTAAAGATAACCCAGTCTAGTCAGTCACAAGTAGGTTCAGAGCTTGAAGGGAGCAGAGACGCATGTGACTCTGCTGGGAATTCAAAATAAACCAGCACTGACAGGTTTGGCTGGATGGAGCGTCGGCCTGCGGACTCGGGGGTCCCAGGTTCGATTCCAGTCAAGGGCATGTACCTTGGTGTCGGGCACATCCCCAGTGGGGAGTGTGCAGGAGGCAGCTGATCGATGTTTCTCTCTCACCGATGTTTCTGACTCTCTGTCCCTCTCCCTTCCTCTCTGTAAAAAATTAATAAAATATATTTTTAAATAAATAAATGAATAAATAAATAAATAAATAAACCAAAGTGAATGGGGAAAAGATTCATTCCTATAGGTTATTATAAGACTTTTTGTTTTTATAGGCCTTTTTGAATGAATGGCTGTCAGAATGAAAGAAATAAACATGATGGTCACTTCCTTCTATCACTGTCACTGTTTAGGCTGCCCCCAGAGGCACAGTCCGAAATGAGGATTCAGGTGAAAGTAGTTTATTTAGAAAATGACCTCAGGAAGCAGGAGTAAGAGCATAGTGAGGAAGAAACTAGGAAGGAGAAAATCAGAATAAGGTGCAATATTGTGGTTGTGCAGGGACATCAGGAGATGGATTTTGTTGGAATCTGCAGAGAAGCACACAGACCACCTCCTGAGCTGTCCTCCTGGATACAGAGGCTGAGCTTTCATCCCTGGCTCCTCTCCCTCCAGGAGCATTAGCACTTCTGCAGCTCTGGCTGCCCTGCTGTGCAGGCCACGTGGGCTCCCATGATAGAGAGGAGGCCAGAGCAGAAAGCAGAGGGGCTCCCAGCCTGCAGGTGATGGGGTGCTGTCAGAACCAGGTAAAGTTGCACACAAACTTGCATGTAATTCTCCACTGCAGCTGAGGCTGATACCAGAGGTGGGCCAGGAATGGATGGACGGCACTAGAGGCTCCACTATGATGGTCTCTCTTCACACAAAATCGTCCCTTCCATCAGCTCTTCTGTGTGATCACCAATCACTCCGAAGCCACAACTTTCTGGAAGCACCACACCTTCTTGCACATCAGACTTAACATCAGAGGGAAGTGCTGTTCTGGGTCCCCTTTACATTTTCCCTTAAGAAGCACCTCTCTGAAGTTAATTTCATCCAATAAATTATCAGATGACAGTGTTTGCATTTTAGAGGAGTTTCTGTCTGAACCATATATGAGTCAGGCAAAAGTAACCCCTGCCTGCCTTTGATCCCAGAACTGCACATATGAAATAATTGTGCTAGACTAGAGATAGGTCAAAGAGTTTAGAGAGAACAATAGCGACATGAATGTATATGTTTTTATTAAATAATTTTGCTTGTGCAAAATCTCTGCAAGACATACATTATTGCCCCCAGGTTACAAATGCAAAAACTCAGACAAATAGCTTCTGAGTCACCATCCCAAGGCAGCTCAGAATATGAACAGACAGGTCCAGGAAGCGGGATCTCTTTCCTCTTCAGCAGGTCCCCTCCCAGGTGAAAGCTGTTATGCAAATGATTTGTGTTACAGCCTGCATTTCTGAAAGGGACCTTTGGGTCAATGTTCCCATTTTGAAGATGCCTCTCTCTACCAAATGCAGAAGGGTGGGGTGATTTAAAGCATGGGTGGAAGTCAATAC